GTGGTGCCATGCGAACCCTCCCACTGGAGCCTTCGGTGGAATTCCTATTGGGGCAACGAAACGTGTGAGGGGGTGTGCCGATTTGGGCGCGGTGGTGCCATGCGAACACTCCCACCGGAGCCTTCGGCGGAGCTCCCCATAGGGCAACGGCCGAATTGGGCGCGGTGGTGCCATGCAAACCCTTCCACTGGAGCTCTCGGTGGAGCTCCCTATGGGGCCTCGAAAAGTGTGAGGGGTGTGCCGAATTGGGCGCGGTGGTGCCATGCAAACCCTTCACGGGAGCTCTCGGTGGAGCTCCCTATGGGGCCACGAAACGTGTGAGGGGTGTGCCGAATTGGGCGCGGTGGTGCCATGCAAACCCTCCCACTGAAACCTTTGGTGGAGCTCCTTATGGAGCCACGAAACGTGTGAGGGGTGTGCCGAATTGGGCGCCGTGGTGCCATGCGAACCCTCCCACCGGATCCTTCGGTGGAGCTCCCTATGGGGCCACGAACCGTGTGAGGGGTGTGCCAGATTGGGCGCGGTGGTGCCTTGCGAACCCTCCCACTGGAGTCTTTGGTGGAGCTCCCTATGGGGCAACGAACCGTATGAGGGGGTGTCCCGAATTGGGCGCGGTGGTGCCATGCAAACCCTTCCACTGGAGCTCTCGGTGGAGCGGGCCACGAAACGTGTGAGCGGTGTGCCGAATTGGGCGCGGTGGTGCCGTGCGACCCCTCCAACTGGAGCCTTCGGTGGAGCTCCCAAGGGGTCACGAACCGTGTGACGAGTGTGCCGACTTGGGCGCGGTGGTGCCATGCGACCCCTCCAACTGGAGCCTTCGGTGGAGCTCCCTATGGGGCCACTAAAAGTGTAAGGGGTGTGCCGAATTGGAAACGGTGGTGTAATGCGAACCCTCCCACTGGAGCCTTCCGTGGAGCTCCCTATGGGGCCACGAACCGTGTGAGGGGTGTGCCAGATTGGGCGCGGTGGTGCCATGCGAACCTTCCCACTGGAGCCTTCGGTGCAGCTCCCCATGGTGCCACGAAACGTATGAGGGGGTGTGCCGGAATGGGCGCGGTGGTGCCATGCAAACCTTCCCATTGGAGCCTTCGGTGGAGCTCCCTATGGGGCCACGAAACGTGTGAGGGGTGTGCCGAATTGGGCGCGGTGGTGCCATGCGAACCCTCCCACTGGAGCGTTCCGTGGAGCTCCCAAGTGGCCACGAACCGTGTGACGAGTGTGCCGACTTGGGCGCGGTGGTGTCATACAAACCCTCCCATCGAAACCTTCGGAGGAGCTCCCTATGGGGCCACGAACCGTGTGAGGGGTGTGCCAGAATGGTGGACATGCGGAGAGGAGAGGCAGGGATGGGAGGAGGGAGGAGGGGGAGGAGGAGGAGGAGGAGGAGGAGAGGAGGTGGGACGCGGGGCGCTGTCTCTTCAAAACGAAGACCCAACACCACAGGATGTTTGGGAAAAAAATCACGACGTCGGAGGTCTGGGTAGTGCGGAAGGTTCATGCGGCGTTGGCACGCCGGCGACGCCGGCGAAGGCGTTCCAGGTCGAAGTCTGCGACGCGGAGCCTCCGAGGGGCACGGTAACGCCACCCGACGGAATTCAACTTTGGACGATCGGGACCGCGATCGATTCAAGGTTGAACGATCGATGCGGTGTACCTACCGTATGGACGGCCGACCTTCCCAAGGGTACCCTTTGTGTTCGTGCCTCCTCGGTCCAGCCTTGGCCGCTTTCGCTGGCCGCACCCCGCTCGAACAGCTTCGACGCGGCCTTCCAAGGCCCTTGCATCCTTATCGTGCGTCCTTCCTATACGGGCTAAGTATATCTATGCGACCAGCAGGACGCGTGAAAGGCGAGGATGACGTCACGGAAGGGGGTGGCTTGCGAGGGGTAAATCAAGGCTGCGCCCGAGAGGAAGGCGCCGTGGGGCTTCGAGCATTGGAGCTCAGAGGAGGAAAACGTGCCCATGCCGCTGCCCTTCTGCCGTGTTTCCGCTTGGGGGGGGCCTCCTGGCAGGCCCTCGTCGCCGCCGCCGGATTCGTTTCAAAATTCCAGTCAGAACGCACCCCGGGAGGTGTCCAGGGAGTAGCGGTATTTGGGCACGTTTTGGTTTCCCCAGGAGCCGCGGTAAGGGCGGCACGCACGTGGAGTATTGGCAGGACCCGCGCTTCCCCCTCTCTGGGAGAGCGTCCCTCTGGGCCTCCCAGATGGGCTCCGAGCAGATGGGATCGGAGGATCGCGCCGCATCGCCGATGCAACGCCGACGTCGCCGATGCACCGCCGATGCATCGCCGATGCATCTCAGACGCATCGGTGATGCATCGGCGATGCGGCGTGATCTCACGACCCCGTTTGCTCTGACCCCACCTGGGATATTTGCCCTCGCCGGGGAAAAACAGAACACGGCGGGCGATCTGGAGCAGCTTTTGGCCTCCAGGGGTCCTTCCCGAACCCCGGAAACGTCAAATACTGTTCCAGGTTCCCCAATAAAGGGAGGGTGGTCTGATTTTTTGGGGGGTCTGATTGGAGTTGTTTGGGAGGGTTCCATGAGGGTCTGGGCAAAAGGCCGTCCTTTCATGGCCAGTCTGAGGGGTCTAAAATGGCTCGTTTGAGAGGGTTGTGACCGCCTCCTTTAAAATCTTGATTACTCAGGTTTAAAAACCAGTCCCGGGCAGTTGGACAATTTTTGAGGCAGCGGGATTAACTATCCGACTTCCCCCCTCGTTCCTGGCCAACTCTGACTGGCCGACTCCCCGACGGGCCGACTGGCTGACTGCGGAGTCGGAGAGTTCCTTCTGGTGCTTCAAAAAATGTGCCCCTCTTCCTGGGGAAGGAATCCAGGTCTCCGGGGGCCAGCGTCGTTCGACTGCACGCAAGAGTGACCCTTCGCCGGAGCGACCTGTGGTGCGGGCCAAGTTGGGGTCCCCCCGATGGCCGAGCGCGATGCAGCAGCAGCGTCCTGCGCGCTCGTGCTCGGTCTCCCCGCGGCCTCCCCAAAGCCGCGCACCAACGGTCCTCCTCCTCCTCCTCCTCCTCCTCCTCCTCCTCCTCCTCCTCCTCCTCCTCCTCCTCCTCCTCCTCCTACTCATCTTCCTCCGCCTCCTCCTCCTCCTCATCTTCCTCTTCTTCCTCCTCCTCCTCCTCCTCCTCCTCCTCCTCCTCCTCCTCCACCTCATCTTCCTCTTCCTCCTCCTCCTCCTCTTCCTCCTCCTCCTTCTCCTCCTCCTCCTCCTCCTCCTCTTCCTCCTCCTCCTCCTCCTACCAATACTGGTCGTACAAATTCGAGGTGTGGTTTTTTATTCTTCTCGTCAGAGGAGGAAAAGGTATCCTGCATCGCGTTCGCCACAGTGCACCTGCCGAGAGGCCCTCGTCGCCACGGCTGGATTCTCTTGGGAGCTCTCGTCAGAGCCGACCCCGTGGGAGGTCCGTGGAGCAGCGGAATCGGTATTGCTCCGTTTCCCCGAGACCGGTGGCCTTCGGCGAGCCCGGCCGCCGTGCCTGGGTCGTGGACGGGATGCGTGTCGGATCCCTCCTGGGGTCTCGTGTGGGTGTCTGTCTCGACACCGCCTGCACCCCGGCCCGCCCTCCGGCCGCCTGAGGCCCCGCCCGCCTGTGCTCTGTCTCCCCAAGTAGAGCTTTGCGTAGCCCGCCTAGCCTTTAACCGGAAGAGGCTCGCTCTCGACCCGCAGACCAAAAAAGTGGGTGTCTGTCGCTGGGGCCCTTCTGGCGGCCTCTGGGTTTGCCTGCTGGCCATCTCGAGGGGTGAGCGGCTCGATCCTGCCCTCGGGGGACTGGCGATCCTGGGACCTCGATCCTCGAGCCTCGATCCGCGAGCCTCGATCCTTGAACCTCGATCCGCGAACCTCGATCCGCGAGCCTCGATGCTCGAACCTCGATCCTGGGGTGACGAATGGCGGCCCGATCTTCCCCGCTTGGGGGCCTTTTGGGGGGCCTTCCAGGACATTCTTGTAGGCGTCGGAGGCATCCTTGGGCGGGTCTTTGGGGCACTTTGGGTCCTCTCGGACGCTCGGAAGACGAACAAGCCGAGCATGCGGAAATCTGTATACACAAAATATGGCATGTCATGTTTGGGGCATGTTGGGCCGACACCCATGGCCTCCATGACGGCTCAAGACAGCCCCAGGATGACCCCGTGGGGCTACCAGGAGTTTCTGAGCCTGTTTCATCGTTGTTCGGATGGCTATTGGGAGATGTTAAAGGCGGTTTGGGCAAGTTTGTCACATTGCGTGCGAGAGGCACGCTGGCGGATCAGAGCTGGCGGTTCTTCTTTGATTCCAGCCTACGAGGGCCCACGTCGGGCCCAAGGGCCGTCAAGACGTCGCTAAGGATGAAAGTGCCGCCCCAGGGAAGGGGTCAAGAGCTCTGGGGGTTCGGGCGGGCGACAACAGGGGACAATCAATAGGAAGGGGGGGAGAAAGGCGCGCCCTCCCAGCACCTCTGGGCGCGGGGCGGCCCCGGGCGGCAGTCCAGGGGCCCTCCATCCGGGCCCCTGTCGACCGACTTCCCTTCCAGCCGCAAGCATTCCCCGTCGATGGCCCCCACGTTGACGTCCTCCCGAGAAGGGGGCCCGTGCTGGGAGAAAGCCACGCCCGAGCCTGCTCCGGCACACGCCCCGAAGAACCTCACGCTCGGAGGCTCCCTTGGCCGCGCGCCGCCGTCGCCTCCTGCTCCCGCCTCCCCTTCCACTGCCGGTGCCTCGATTCGCCTCGCATCTGCCCCATCGTACAGTGGAAGCCCATGCCAAGAAACACCCTGCTCGCCTCCAGGGTGCCCTGGGTTTCTATGGTTTTGCTGTGGAACACACCAAAAATCAATGGACGTTCTGAGGTCTCAGGGTTGGGTGTCCTGTGGAAGGTTTCCTGTGGTCGAGCTCTGACTGCAGCCTGACCGCAACTCGGACCCGAGACGCCGCCGATCGAAACATCGAGAAAACCACGGCGTCGGAGTCGAAGAAGAAGACAAAGCTGCAATAACATGAAGGTTCGGAGCTCCGCACGGATTTCTGGGATTGGCGTTGGGCCCCCCTGGCGGCGCCTCCAGCGCCGCACCTTGCGCGCTCCACGCCAGGGAGGGGGCTCCAGCGCAGATCCCAGAAGTCCGCGCGGACCTCCGGAAGCTTCCGCTCATGCCCTTCCCCGAGATATCTGACGCTGCATAAACTTGCCACCTCGCAGAAAATCACCACCAGAGCCCTGGACGCCAGGCGTTCCGTTCGCGCCGACCCTCCTGGGGGTGTCAGAGCTGCTCCCGCAGCCCGTGCCGACCTCTTTCTGGAGGAGCCGATCACGCCGACGGTGAGCATGCCTTCAGAGCCCTCCGGCGTGCAGCACGCGCCCCCCCCGTGACGCCGAGCAAGTGGCCGCACCTCGCTGCTGCTGCCTCCTGCGCGAGCCCGACCGATCCTGGTGAGGGCCCGGCGGCCGGGCGAGAGCGCCCAGCTCGGCTCCCCAGACACGCGGCTGCTCCAGCGTGATCTCGCTGCGTGGGCCGCGAAGGTCCAGACCACGTCCCCTATCAGGGCCAATCCGGGCCCGTCCCTCTGCAGGAGGAAGATATGCAGACACATCGGCTAGACGTAAGAGAGTGACCTTTCGCCGGAGCGACCCTCTGGTGCGGGCACAGCTGGGTCCCCAGAGGGCTGCAAGCGAAGCAGGGACAGCGGCTTGCGCGCCCAGGTTTGGTCCCCCCGCGGCCCCCGAAAAGCCGCACACTGAAGGTCACTCTTACCCAGGGTCACTCATGCGTGCAGCCGAACACAGTCCCGAACATAGTCTTGGGACGAGCTTCCCGCCATCTCTCGCTTAGGTCTGAAGCTTCCCTGCCTGCTTGTACTGCAGGAGGACACGCCCGACCCAACCACAGGGCCGGTTTTGCGTCCTGAGTCGCTCTGTGGCGCTCCCGAGGCCCGGCGAGCGCCCCCCCAAAGAGGCAGACAACGGCCCCAGCACACGGACCGCCCGCTCCCATCTCGTCGGAGCGCCGGCTCTCCGGGTCGAGGAAGAGATGGTCGGAGGGCGCGTGGTGCAGGGGCGATCAGTGTCGACCAAGAACGAGACGGCACCGTGCCCCACCCACACTCGGCCCAGATTACGGTAGGTTCGTGTCGTGTCGACCAGCGGCGACCCTGCCAGCTGCGTTCAAGGTTGAACGCCGCAGGCGACCCAGAATCGTTCGATGTGCAACGATTTGGACGTTTCGGAAACGACCGATCGATCAAGGTTGGACGATCCCCGCGGTGTCAGGAACCAATGCCGGGGTCGACACGACGCGAACCAGGTCGACCCAGCCAAATCAAGGGTACCCTGGTGTCCTGTGTTTCGCGGCCCATGCTTCCTGCCTTCCTGTGGCAGTGTGGCCCTCGGAAGGGTCTTGTGCCCTCTCGCGTGTCCTGTCCGATCGAGTCCGACTGTACGGCACGACGGCGTTGGGATTTCAAGCGCTTGCCCCGTGCAGCCTCGGCTTGCAGAAAAGGCGCAGCAAGCAGCGGGCAGCGAGGGCCGCAGAGAGGGAGCCCTGCCAGGGCCCCTATAGAGGGGCTCGCCGGGGTCCAGGAGAAGTCCCTGGAGTTAGGTCGGGCCTGTCCCTCTACAGGAGGAATATTCAGAAATAGTCCAAACTTAGTCTGGGGACTATTTTTTGAGTATGTTAGGGCATCTTTGGAGTATAGTTTGATTATTCTTTATTTTTTGTCCACAATCCCCCTGTAGGGGGACAGGCCCGACCTAACCCTAGAGCCCGAGAAGGGCACCTTTCTTCTTCCCCTCCCACTTCTGTCGCCCCCATCAGTGCGCACCCAACTGGGGCGCTAGGATCTGCTGGCGTGTTCCTCCTCTGGAGAGCCACGGCTCGTCGTCGCAGGCAGGAGGCCTCCCCCCCCCCGGCGGGCAGGACGAGGGAGCCCTCCTGGCCGAGCGCGTGGCGGACTTCGCAGTGGTGATCCTGTCCCTGTCCTTGGGCAACGAGGGCTTGGCGCGGCAGGAGCTCGGTGGCTGCAAGCCTTGGGATCCTGGCATCTCGACTTTTTTCGGGCCGGACGTTTTCGCCAGGGTTTGGGCCCTGGGACCCTCACGGATCGATCCAGCTCGAGAAATTGCGCAGAGAGGTGGGGTCTAGGGCTCCGGACTGCAAGCCCAGACCCCCCCTCGCGTCATGAAAAAATCACGACGCCAAGTTTGTCGCCGTCTTCGGCCTCTGGGGGCCCTTACCGGGCGTCGGGAGCGTCGAAAAACGACTCAGTATTTGTAGCCCTGCGGAAGTGGTCCGCCGGACCTCCAAGGTCCACGCATCAGAGCCTGTTTTTTTTCTGACTCCAGCAAGTTTACTTGCATGGACCGGGGGGGGGGGCTGAACCTGAAGCAAGCCGCAAACGACTTGCACGTGCGGAAATCGTGCAAGTCGAGAGGCACTTGCATGCTGGTGCCTTCTCTGAAGAGGGGCGAGGGGGGGAGGGGGGGAGGGCACCATGCAAGTAAACTTGCACGAGTCTAGAGAATATAAGACCCTCAGGATGAAAAACCCAGCCCTGGGGAAGTGGCCCGCCGGACCTCCAAGGCCCACGCATCGGAAAAATGGATGCAGCCGGGCGTCTGTCTCGGCGGCTGCACTCACGACGGCAGGTGCTTCGCCGGCCTCGGCCCCTGGGGCCCTCGCCAGGCGTCGGGGCCGTCAAAAAAAAACACGACTGTGGATGAAAAGCCGGTCCTCGGGAACGGGTCGCGACCTCTGGGGGTCGACGTTACGACAAGCTCATGGCGTCGGGAATATCTGGGAAGGGCGCGGTTACGCCGGGGTGCGTCCAGGAGGCCTGTCGTGGACACGACGGCTCCTCGCCCAGCGCAGGTCCGCTCGAGATCGGTTTTTCCAGCTGGAGACGGCGGCGCTTGCCGGCACACTTCTGCATGCGGGTTGGGTGGGCAACCTCCCCATGGGGCAGTGGGCAATGGCAGTGCTCCTTGCTCCGGGGAATGCCGTCGCTCTTCGGTGCGGTGCCTGGTTGTGCTGCGAAGCCCTGGGCCCGTGCCCTGGCTGGCCGCTGCGTCTCTCCAGTATAGATCCTTTGGGTGCCTCGCCCAGGTGAGTCCTTGGCTTCGCCAGGGAGCCCAGCCCCTCCCAGGGTGCGCCCTGACGAGAAGCCTGCAGGAGGCCCACGCAGATCGAGGAACGCCAGGGAGGACCGCCGCTGGGTCGACGGGCCCCCCTCCGACGGGAGGATCGGTCCTCGTGGAAGCCTGAAGCTGGGGTGTGGTCTGTGATCGGTGCCGCGTCGGGGTTTAGGGGTCACCGCGCTGCCCTCGTCGGGGCGCGGCGGAGAACTCTGTCGAGGTCCTCGCCCCCAGACCCCCGACGCCATGACTCTGTTTCCAACGTCGACCCCCATCGGTTTCGATCCATTCCCCGGGGCCCGTTTCTCAGCCTGAGTTGTTTCTTGCCGGTCCGGAGGCCCAGTGAGGGCCCCCAGGAGCCGAAGATGGCGAAGAACTTCCCGTCACGGTTCCTTCGCAGCGCGAGGGGGTCTGGGGCCCACCCACCCCCGGCGCGGGTTGCAAGCCACGCCCTCCGCAGACCAAACCAATTGGGCGCCGCCGAGGAGTCGGCGGCCGACATCGAGCGCGTGGCGCGGAGGTACGCGGACGGCCTGCGCCGCATCGCCCGCCGGTTGAGGCAGGCGATGCACCCGCAGGCGCGCCTCGTCCTGGGCGGGCCCTACCCCCACGGCGACTACAAGGCGGGGCACCTGCGCGCCATCCAGGAGCCAGGGGCCACGCTAAGGGGCAAGTCGGGCCTGGCCCTCCACAGGAGGCATGTTCAAACATGGCTGAAACCATGGTATGGGGACGACTTCTTGATCCTTGTTCGATGATGTTTGGGCATGTCTCGACTCTGTGTACTTTTTCGTCCAGACCCGCCTGCTGGGGGACATGCCCGACCTAATGCTAGGGTTAAGTCGGGCGTGTCCCCCTACAGGGGGATTCTGGACGAGAAATAAAAAATACTCAAAAAATACACCGAGCTTGTCAAACAAATACTAAACAAAAAAAGTCCCCAGGCTATGTTTGGACTATGTTTGGACTATTTTGGGGGTATGTTTTACTTTTCATCGAAAATCCCCCTGTAAGGGGACACTCCCGACCTGATGCCAGGAGAGGGGACGCAGTCGCGAGGAGGAGGAGGAGGAGGAGGAGGAGGAGGAGGAGGAGGAGGAGGAGGAGAGGAGGAGAGGAGGAGAGGAGGAGAGGAGGAGGAGGAGGATGATAGGGAGGAGGAGGAGGAGGAGGAGGAGGAGGAGGAGGAGGAGGAGGAGGAGGAGGAGGAGGAGGAGGAGAGGAGGAGAGGAGTAGAGGAGGAGAGGAAGAGAGGAGGAGAGGAGGAGGAGGAGGAGGAGGAGGAGGAGGAGGAGGAGGAGGAGGATGGGGGGCCCTCCCGGCGGGGCGCCCTCGCAGCCTCGCCCCCTCGGCCCGTCCCCGGAGCCCCCCTGCCGACGGCCGGCTCCCTCTCGAGGAGTTGTGGCCTGCAGGGCAGTTTCTAATACACTGGATTGCAAACATATCCGATTTTTAGTACAGGATTAATGTGTGAATCAATGTATGCACGAACTCATCGCTGCTTTTAATACTGAACCCCTGCATGTTTCATGCATGAGCCGCACGCGGAGCATGCATTAAGAACGGCACCGTGCGTGCCCCAGGGGGGCTTTTGCATCCTTATCGATGGTCCTCCGGACGTGTGTGAGCCCAGCGTGTGTTTGCCCCGCTCGTTCCAACCAGCAGATCGTGACACCGCCTTCGTTGTACTGAAGGGCCTCAGCGGGCAACACACACGTTGGCGCCCACGCACGTCCTGAGGATCCTCGACCTCACCGCGCGCCCTCGCTGTCGGTTTTCACTGCTGGCAGGTTCTCGAGGCTCGAGGGTTTCGGGTGTGGTCGTCGGGCCTCGGCGGCTTTGCCAGCCTCCGGCTGCCTCCCAGCGGCCTCGTTGTCAGCTTTCACTGCAGGCCTTGGCATCGCTCGGACGTGTGCATGTTTCCCTTCGGCGAGGACCATCGAGGAGAGTATCCTTGACCACTTGGCGAAAAAAACGCGCACGAAGCCGAAAAAAAAGCACAGGGAAGGGACGTCCGAGCGATGGCCACAGGCAGGTCCTCGAGGCTCGAGGGCTTCGGTAGGGAAACAAAAAGTGGCACAAACATAAAAGCTCGGAGGTCCGCGCGGATTTCTCGGATCGGCGCGGGGGCCCCCCAGCGGCGCCTCCGGCACCGCCCCTGGCGCGCTCCGCGCGCCAGGGAGGGGGGTCCAGCGCCGATCCGAGAAATCCGCGCGGACCTGCGAGTTTTTATGTTTATGTCACTTTTCGTTCCCCTAGTCCCTCCTCCCCCTCCCTCCTCCTCCTCCTCCCCTCCTTCCTCCTCCTCCTCCTCCTCCTCCTCCTCCTCCTCCTCCTCCTCCTCCTCCTCCTCCTCATCCTCCTCCTCTCTCCTCCTCCTCCTCCTCCTCCTCCTCCTCCTCCTCCTCCTCCTCCTCCTCCTCCTCCTCCTCCTCCTCCTCCTCCTCCTCCTCCTCCTCCTCCTCCTTTTCCTCCCTCCTCCTCCTCCTCGTGGTCGCCGGGCCTCCTCGGCTCTGCGCCAGCCCTCGCCGGCTGCCTCCCGAGGGGCCCTCGCCTCGCCGAGGGGGCGCCTCTCCCGGGGTGCCCGGGCGTCGCCCCCGCGCGGCTGCCGGAGGCCCGAGGCAGGGCCCGGAGGCCACCCGGGACGGGGATGGGCTCAGGGACGGACGCATCGACCCCTCATCATCAACAACAACAACATCATCATCATCAGCATCATCATCATCATCATCATCATCATCATCATCATCATCATCAGCAGCAGCAGCAGCATCATCATCATCAGCAGCATCATCATCACCAGCATCACCATCAGCATCTTCACCATCATCAACAGCATCATCAGCATCATCGTCAACAACATACTCATCATCATCGTTAACAGGATCATCATCATCATCATCATCATCAACATCAACATCAACATCAACAACAGCATCATCAGTCTCGCCATCATCAACAACATCCTCATCATCATCATCATCGTGAACATATTCATCATCATCAACAACATCGGAAGCATCATCATCGTCAACAATATACGCATCATCATCATTAACAGTATCAGTATCAGCAGCATCAGCATCATCATCATCAGCAGCAGCAGCATCACCATCATCATCAACAACATCAACACATCAGCATCACATCATCATCACCATCAACAGCATCATCATCAGCATCACATCATCAGCATCATCATCAGCAGCAGCATCAGCATCATCAACAACATCACTACATCATCATCAGCAGCAGCATCATCATCAGCATCATCAGCATCATCATATTTAGTCTTGATCGCTGGAAAGAATTCCGAGCACCAGGAATATACCAACATCGGATGGTTTTCACGTGTCGGGCCCTGGGAGGCGATACTCGTTCGGCACTGCTTCGATACTTGTCTGGGTGCTCGAAATCATTTCTGGGATGTGGTCCTGAAGTACGATGGGAGCTGCATAACCCGCATCGCCCATTCATAGCCGCTACGGGCTGGATAGCCCACCCTTGCCCAGGACCGTGCGGACTCGCTATCGGGGACATGTTGCCGATCTGTCGGCGATGCATCCCCGATTCGCGCTCGGTGCTCTCCCCACCCTGAGCGGGTCCCTCCCTCACGCTGCCCCTAAGGAGGTCCGGCAGGAGCTCCTCACCTGGCCCGAGGTCGACCACGTCATCGACTTCCTGAAGCCGTGCGTGCACGACGGGAGGGGGCACTGGCACAGGCCGAGGAGGAGGAACAGACATTGCACGGGCATAAGCTTTCGGAGCTCCGCGCGGATTTCTTGGACCGACGCAACCCCCCCCCGCTCACGCCGCGCAGAGCGCGCCAAGGGCGGCGCCGGAGGCGCCGCCAGAGGTCCCAGCGCCGATCCAAGAAATCGCGCGGAGCTCCGAAAGTTTGTGTGTATGCAGTGTGGCTCGGGGCGTGACCCGTCCCCCTGAGCGGCCTCGCTCCCCTCCCGCCCCCGCCTGCGGCCGCTTCCTCTGCCTTGTCCCCTCCTCCCGCATGGTGGCACCACTTCGCTACAACGGCAACCCCGCTTGGGCAGCGCTTCGCCAGCGCAGTTCCTCCGCCTGGCCGCCGCCGCACAAGGTGTGTGCAGTCTGTCTGTGCTTCCTCCGGCAGGGGCGCCTGGCGGGACCCCGGGCACCCCAACGACGCGGGGCACAGGCAGATGTTCCAGTGCGTGGAGCTGCACGGGCTGCTCGGGCCCTTCTCGGAGGGCGGCGACGGCATCCTGGAGCCGCTGCTGGGCAGCGGCGAGGCTCGGGGAGGAGCAACGCTAGACAAAGCTGCGGGGGGGTGGGGGCCCAGCACCGATCCGAGGCGTCCGCGGGGAGCTCCGAAAGTTGACGCTCATGCCGTTCCCTGAGATCCGATGCTGCAGATACAAAAAAACACGTCGTGATAAAAATCACGACCAGAGCCCCTGGACACCATGTTTTTTCTCTACCTTGTAGGGGGCCGGATCGTTCTGTGAGGGTCCCGGGGCCCGAAGCATGGCGAAAGCGCCCAGCTCGAAAAAAATTGAGTCGGGGCGAACACGTCCAGCCCACCCGTCCGTGGTGCCTTTTCCGTTCAGTAGAAAAGCGGCGCCACTTGCAGCACACCAGCTAGTGTGATTCGATCTGGTGCGCTGCTGGACGCAAACATCGACTTACAGTCAACCCGCAGAGTAAAGGACGGGCAACCTTCCCAAGGGTACCCTTGCATCCTTGCCTCCTGGGTCCATCCTTGGACACTTTCGTTGGCCGCGCCCCGCTCGAAATTCTTCGAAATGGGCGTCCAAGGGCCTTGCATCCTTATCGCGCATCCTTACTCTGCGGGTTGACTGTATGGCGCAAGTTCGCTTTGTCGCATCCCTGGCGCGCCCCTTGACACGGCTTCTCCCGCCATAGAGAGCTCCACTTCTTGTTTCAGTGGGAACTTCCTGGAGACGCCAGCATCTGATGGTTCGCTCTTCCTGTATGGAGGTGGACCCCGCGCACAGGGCGCGCGTCGACGGCCTGAAGCTGGCGACGTTCAGACACGAGGGCTGCTCGCGCCCGGGCTGGCGGAGCTGGCTGAGAGGCCAGCCCGCGGCTGGCTGGTTCGAGGAGGACGAGTCCGGGCTCGTCTGGAGAAGCTTCAACGGCGTGCCAGATCGGAGGAGGGCCAGTCGATCTAGCACTTCGAGATGGGGTCCGAGCACATGTGGGGTCGCACCGTGAAAAAAAAAACAGGACGGAAGGTGTTTCGCCGTGTTCGGCCTCTTGGGGCCCTCGCCGGGCCACGGGACCGTCAAGAAACTGTTCGGGATGGAAAACCGGTCCCGGGGAAAGGGTCGGGAGTTCTTTGGGCCCGGTACACGCCGGTCGTTGAAAGTAGGTATTTCTGGACTCCCAGATCCCAATCTACTTCAAGCGCCTTCCTACTTCAAGAATCGACACGCTGTTGATGTGTTTTGTTATTCTCTGGGAGGGCCTGGACCCAATCCACTTTATCCACCTTCCTACTTCATGTTTTTACCTACTTCTTCCGACCGACGTGCACTGAAAAAGTCAGGACGTCGCATGTTTGGGAAGGGTGTTGTTGCGCAGGGGTTTGTCCTGACGAGAAGCCTTCAGGAGGCCCGAGAAGATCGAGGAACGCCAGGGAGGGCCAGTCGATCCAGCCCTCTCAGATGGGGTCCGAATTAATGGGGTTGGAGGATCGCGCCGTATCGCCGGTACATCGACGATGCGGCTCGATGTGGAGCCCGATTTTCCCCACGCCGACGTCGCCGATGCGGTCGCCGATGCGCCACGATCCTCCGACCCCATGTTTTCGAACCCCTTCTAGGAGCCCTCTGCGTAGGTGAGACAACGGCGTCTCGCCTGGCGCAGGTCCGCTCAAAATCGATGTCCAACTGGAGACGGTGGTGCTTGTCGGCGCACTTCTGCATGCGGCTTGGGTGGGCAACCTCCCCTGGGCCAATGGGCAATGGCAGTGCTCCCTGTTACAGAGAACACCGTCGCTTTTCGGTACGGTGTCTGGTTGTGCTGCGAAGCCTTGGGCTCGTGCCCTAGCTGGCCAGTGCGTCTCTCCAGTAGATCCTTGGGTGCCTTGCCCAGGTGTCCCTGGCTTTGCCAAGGAACCCAGCCCCTCCCAGGGTGCGTCCCGACGAGAAGCCTGCAGGAGGCCCACGCAGATCGTACAACCCCCAGGGAGGACCGCCGTCAGGTCGACTGGCCCCCCTCCGACCGGAGGACAGGTCCTCGTGGAAGCCCAGGACCCGACGACCACAACGGGTGCGGTTACGCCGGGGAGTGGCTCGCGATCGGCGCCGTTGGGGTTTCGGGGCCACCACGTCGCGCCCAAAGGCTTGATGCGCCCTCGTCGGGGCTCGGCAGGGATCTTTGTCGAGGTCCTCGCCCCCGGACCCCCGACGCCATGACCTCTGCATGGCGTCGACCCCCCGAGGTCTCGATCCGTTCCCCAGGACCCGTTCCTCATCTGGAGGCGTTTGGTGACGGTCCCGAGGCCCGGCGAGGGCCCCCCGAAGCCGAAGGTGGCGACAAACTTCCCGGCGCGATTTTTTTTGTTTCACAGCGCGAGGGGGCTTGGGCCCGCCCCCCCCCCAAGGGCGCGGGTTGCACGCCACTCGACGAGCGCGTTCCACTACTCGCAAAGTAACTACTCGCAAATGGCCTGGATCCCCCGCGGGGGGACCTACGAGAAATTGCACCAAAGTAGACAGGTGTTTTTCGGACGCTTGCGAGTACAGTGCCGGTGTTAATACATGCTCCGCGTGCGGATCATGTATTGAAAATACACGGATGTAGCACGAAAAACGTCGAACAGTTCATGCATAAACTTATTCATAAATTAACCATTATTTAGAATCCTATATTTAAAAAATCCTATGTCTTAAAAACTGCCCGGTAATTAGGCACTCTGCGAGCAGTGGAGCGCGCCCGCTGCGAGCCACCCCCGCTGCGAGCCACGCCCGGCGGCGTCGCCGCAGGATGACCTGGCCGGGGCTCGCGCTGCAGGGGCGGCGCGTCGTGTGGGCGGCCAGCGGCTGGCCGCTCGCGGAGCTGGAGCTCGACGCCGCGGGGGCCGTGGCCGCGGTCTGCTTCGGCGAGGGCTGGAGGCTCGCAGCGGTGGCGGAGCGTCCCGGCCATGCCGAGCGGGGCCCACCCCGACTGCACTCGGGGGCGGAAAAGAGGGGGGTGCTGACTAGGGGGGGGGTGGATCTCATGGCGTGGGCCATGATATTTCCCCAGATGTCATGGCGCCTCCTCTTATTTCATTACGTCCCTGGCCCCCCCCCCCCTGGGCCGCGCACATGCCCTCTTGGCCGCCCCCGATACACGTAAGAGTGACCTTTCGCCGGAGCGACCGTTGGTGCGGGCACAATGGGGTCCCCCGATCACCGATTGCGATGCGACAGTAGCGTCTTGCGCGCCTGAGTTTGGTCCCCCGCGGCCCCCCAAAAGCCGCACACCAAAGGCCACTCTTACCCAGGGTCACTCTTGCGTGCAGTCGACCACCCCAGGAACGGTCCGAGAGCCTTTCTGTCCTGGCATCGCTCGGGCGCGTGCCTCATTTTTCCTCGGCGAGGGCCCTGGAGGAGCCTCCTGGACCATCGAGCCAAAAAAGCACACACGGAACCGAAAAACGCACGGGAAATGGACGTCCGAGCGACGGCAGGCTGTGGTCTGCACGAAATGTTCCTAGAACATTTCTGGCCGAGGCTGTCCTGTTTCCGCACACCGGTCTTTTGCTCCACGAACCTTGTTTTTGATCTCAGAACATGTTTGGGTTCTGAGGGCACGTCGTGGCAGGCCTGTAGGAATGCTGGGACGGTCGGCCCCTGCTCAGAGGTGGGAGCGCTTCGACGCGCCGGCGCCTGGGCAACATCGGGTGGAACGCTTGGGGGGGGCAGGATAGTTGTCAGGCGTCTTCGCATGTCTTCGTCGGTTCTCGTCCGCCCTGTCTCAGTCTCTCCTCTTGCACGCTGGGCAATTCGCTCTTCGGTCGCCCCGTTTAGCCCGACCGCTGGCGCCGTAGCCTCTGCCCCGCAGCCGACGGAGAAAGGCCTTCGTCGGTGCTCTTCGGCTTCCCAGCCCCGGGAGGCTGTCCAGCAGCTGCGCCTCGCCGAGAGCGCGTCCCCGGGCCTGCCTGCATCGCCCCGAGCGGCCGCCGGCGAGACGAGCCGTGGCCCGAGAAGCCGGGAGGCTAGGCCCATAGGGGTGGACGCCTCGATCCCCCAATCCGCGCCGCTCGTCGCCGGTGTGGGGTCGGTGACCGCCCCCACCCCGCCCGGGACCGTGCGGACCCGCGGTCGGCGGCCCGTCGCAGGCCCATGGGCGATGTATGCCGCCGACGCCAGCTCGCTGCGTCCCCCTACATAGGGGATTTTCGATGAAAAATCAAAACTACCCCAAACATAGTTTTAAACAGATAGTCCAAAAATAGTCTGGGGACTATTTTTATGTATTGTTTGGGGGGTTCTTGAATTTTTCGTCGAAAGTCCCCGTGTAGGGGGACAGGCCCGACTTAACCCGAGCCTCGGGTTGACCCAAAAGGGGGTCCAGCGACGAGCGGGTGGTGCAGCAGATTGGACTTGGTGCAGTAGGTTTGTGGGGTTGCAGTACATGTGGGGCGTGCAGTGAGTGCATCCCGGGGCGCAGATGGACTGCTGGGTTTTCGCGTGCAGAACCTTATACTTGCAGTGCGGTACCATGCGCTGCCATTTTCCGGCGCAGGACGCTTGCAATCCAGTTGCCCCAAATCTGCTGCACCACCCCCCCTTGCAGCCCCACCCCCCTTTGGGGTCACCCACAGAGCCAGTCGCCCCCGAGCGTTCCCCCCTCGCAGCAGCCCGCCGGAGGCGGCAGCGGGTGCGCTTGCTTCTAGCGGCGGATGCTGAGGGGAGGGCGAAGGGCGGCCGCACAGCGCTCGGGCAGCGAGAAAATCACGCGGCGGGAGATGTTGCTGCTGCTGTCGTCCTCCAGGGGCAACGCACAGGGGACCCAGACCTCAGACCCCCTCGGGCCACGAAACAAAAAAAAGCACAACGCAAAACTCTTCCGGGGGCCCCTACTGGCATTCGGGACCGTCAGAAACGATTCCGGATGAAAAGCCGGTCCAGGGGGATGGGTCGAGACTTCGAGGGGTCGACGTCATGCAAAGATCATGACGTCGGGCGTCTGGGTGCACAGCGCTCTCAGGGCAGGGCTATTCGCGGCACAGTGCGGGCTGCCTGTGGCAGAAAAGGCGACGGAGGGATCGGGATCCCTCGTTTCTTTCTGCCACCCATGGCCCACACATCGATGACGCAAGAATGTTGGAGAGAAGACACTGCAGCATCTGCGAAAGTATGTAGATAGCCAAGAGGCCAACTAGGCATTCCCCCACAGGAGTTCCGTGTCGATTTGCCCGTTAGTTCGGTAAGAGGAGTGGTTCGTTCGAAAAGAGAATAATCAAGAAGCACCGGTCGCAGGCTAGCGTGAGCCTCGCAGGAGCACCAGACAGCAAAAAAGAAGAGAGAGAGAGAGAGACCAATGTTGATGGCCACATGAGTTCTCGAGCCAACCATATTGCTGTATGGACTCATATATGTTTTAGGATCCAGAAGTTTAAACGGAAGCATCGAGTCGATATAGGTGCCCGATCTAGATGTAATAGGCTGTTCCCCCAAGCAAGATGTTTGACCTCCCAGTCCCTGGGCCGCGCACATGTGTATGCATGCCTCCCGAGATAGTTCCGTACATGCAGATTTCCACACACACACACACACACACACACACGCATATGCACGTGGTTCGAAGAAAGAGTAGCTAACGAGGATAACTTTGACCAGACTTACAGGAAACGCGCGCGGTATTGTGGCTCGAGTTTGGCTCACGCCCTGGCTTCAAGCGCACACACACTTGAATCAAGGACTCAAGTGTTCCCAGAGTTGAGATACATGCATTGTATGCCCCAACGCATCGTGTAGAAGTATGATGTTCGACAGCCAGCGGGAATCTTGATCAGGCACTTTGCACCGCCAATGCGCGCATGGTGAGGAGGACAGCGCTGCACATGTTCCACAAAGAATGTCACCTCCGTGCGCAGCAAGCCCAATCTGTAACATTGCGACCGTCAACACATGCAGGAAAAAGCAGGCAGTGGCAACGGATGCTGTCGTTTCTCAAGCCACCTGGTTGAAACGAGGGTCGAGCCCGACGTCGTACACAACGCTAGTATCAGCGCGCGCGAGAAATGTGATCAATGGCAGCGGGCGCTGGTGCTAGTCAGCGAAAGTCGTGGAGCGAAGATAGAGCTTGACATCAGTAGATGCGCTGCTGCGACAAGCGCGTACGAGAAATGTGGTCACAAGCAGCGTGCGCTGTCGCAGTGTAAAGTTTAGGCCAAATCAGGTTTTTGAGTCGTGTTGGGGCTGTCCTCGACCATCTTGGGCCACCCCGGAGCTGTCTTGGGGCCTCTTGGGACTGTCCTGAGGTCATCTTGGGGCTGCTTCGTGGCCATCTCGGGCACTGCCACCCCCTGGTGTTCGCTCTTGGGCCGCCCTGGGGCCCTCCTGAAGCCATGCTGCATTGGGCCTGCAGTGGGGCGGTCGTGTGGGTCTTCTGGGCCCTCTTCTCTTGGAGCCCTTGCGGGCCCCACCGAGAGCCTCATTGCTCGATCTTGGAGCCGTTTTGAGGCCTCGCGAACCCAGAGGAAGCGACAAGGACAGCAAGCTAAAATCATTGAAAAGCAGTTCGAGTTTGAGTGATGTGGGCCCCATGGAGACCTCTTAGGGGATGTTTCAGACCATCTTGGGACCTCGGGACTGTCGTGGGGCCTCTTGGAGCTGTCTTGAGATTATCTTAGGGCTGCATTGGGCCTCTACAGGGGCGCTCGGGGGGGCCTTTGGAGGCCTTTTGAAGCTTTCCGGGCCCGAGAAGGAGCCCATCTTGGGCGATCTTGGAGCTATGTCGAGGCTTCAGAACCCCATAGGAAGCGAGACGGCGAGAATACCAAAATCCATGGAAAACAAATGAACCGGGCGCAACCCAAATTGGGGGAACGTTTCCTACGCGGCATTGTTTGGTATTGCAGTTTTGCGTGGCATTGCATTGTTTGGCGTTGCTCGGCGATGCTTGACATATCTTGGCAGTGCGTGGCATTGCTTGGCGTTGCTTGGCGCGTTGCTTGGCATTGCTTGGCGTTGCTTGGCATTGCGTTGTATTGTTTGGCGTAGCGCTGCTTGGCGTTGATTCGCATTGTTTGGCGTTGCTTAGCGATGCTTGGCATTGCGTGGCGTTGCCTGCCTCTGCTAGGAAATAATACCAGTAACCAGAAGCAAACCTTTTCAAAAACAAAAGGGTCACGTTAGCCAGCGTGGACCTCAGACAGTGCGGTATCCAAACAGTGCGTTCTTGGGCCGCCTGGGGCCCTCCTGAAGCCATGCTGCATTGGGCCTGCAATGGGGCGGTCTTGTGGGTCTTCTGGGCCCTCTTCTCTTGGAGCCCTTGCGGGCCCCACTGAGAGCCTTCTTGCTCGATCTTCGAGCCGTTTTGAGGCCTCGCAAACCCGGAGGAAGCGACAAGGACCGCAAGCTAAAATCATTGAAAAGCAGTTCGAGTTTGAGTGGTGTGGGCCTGGCCTCATGGAAGCCTCTTGGAGGAGGTTTCAGACCATCTTGGGACCTCGAGGCCGTCTCGGGACCTCTTGGAGCTGTCTTGGGATCATCTTGGGGCCGTTTCCGAGCCAGCAGGAGGCCTGACACCCCTTGATGCCCGCTCTTGGGCCGCCCTGGGGCCCTCTTTGAGCTGCATTGGGCCTCTACTGGAGCGCTCGCGGGGCCTTCCGGGCCCGAGAGGGAGCCATTTGTCATGGGCGATCTTGGAGCTAGATCGAGGCTTCAGAACCCAACAGGAAACGAAAAGGCGACATAACCAAAATCCATGGACAACAAATAAACCCGGCACAACCCTAGCGCTGCTTGGCGCTGATTCGCATTATTTGGCGTTGCTTGGCGATGCTTGGCATTGCGTGGCGTTGCCTGGCCCTGCTAGGAAATGATACCAGTAACCAGAAGCAAACCTTTTCAAAAACAAAAGGGTCACGTTAGCCAGCGTGGACCCCAGACAGTGCGTTATCCAAACAGTGCGTTCTTGCATTGTGGAGGTATCAGTTATAGGGCGTCAGCTATGTTTTGATACCAATGTCGTATAGGCGATGTAGACTGAACAGAGACAGTGAAAACTAGGTCGTGCAAGCTATGTGGTGTAAGCTATGTCGTGTAAGCTAGGAGGTGTGAGCTGGAGGAGGAAGCTATGGGGCGTAAGCTATGTGATTTAAGCTGCCTTGTTCCATATACCCGGTGCAAAATGGGTGGTGGTGCAAGCTGTGTGGTGAAAGTTGCGGCGTGTGAGCTCAGAGCACAGGGGCGCCCACGAGGCCTCGCTATTGAAGTCACGATCGTTCACACTGTCGATCTGACTATCGATCTCGCTATTGATCTCACAATCGATATCACTGTCGAGCTCACACGAGCGATCTCACTATCGATCTCTCCAGAGATCGCAATATCGATCTCATTATCGACATCACTGTCGATCCTACGATCGATCCCACTATCAATCCCACGATCGATCTCACTACCGATCTCACTGTTGATATCTTCGATCTCGCAATCGATCTCACGACCGATCTCACCACCGATCTCACCATCGATCTCACGATCGATCTCACCGCGGGACACCGACGGGACACCATAAGACACCGACGGAACAACGGCGGAACACCCCGCGGACACACTCCGGTAGGTACATGCATACACATAACACATAGCGTGTATATATATATATATATGTGTACGTATACAAGTTTGTACCCGCTCGTTGCGCATCGCCGTTGCAAACTTGGTCGCATGGTGTCAGCGAGGTGCGTTGCGACCGCCATCGCCGTCAATTGGGAATGGGGGAATAGGTCGACGCGGTCCCAGAGCTTTAGAGGTGGCGGGCGTCACGGGTTTGGAAGGTCCCCCGAAGCCTCCAGGGCGCACGAGGTTTGTATTGTTCATGAGGGTCACATGGTCACATGTCTCATTGCGTTTAAGCGGCATGCGGGGTTCATCGGTTTCAACCGGAACGAAGAGCTCCTTGGCTTCTCCGCAGCCGTTCTGACTCAAGCCTTCTGCTCGAGGCGGTTCCCCCTGTGCCCCCCCCGCTGCCCGCGAGCGCCGAGATGTCCGGCGCAGAGGTGGCCGTCGCCTTCGCCGCGCCCGCTGCCAGCTCCGGCTGGGCGGCCAGCCTGCGGGGCGCCGCGCCGGCGCGGGCCGCCCGGGCGCAGCCCAGCGCCGAGGACGGCGCCCCCGCGTCGCCCTGGCTGCTCGGCTCCGCCGCGGCCCTTGCCGCCGCGGCTGCTGCCGGCAGGAGGCCGGCGCGCGGCACGCGGCGCGCGCTGCCGGCGGCCACGGCCGCGGCGGTGGAGGCGCCGCCCGCGGCCGCCACGGCAGAGGCCCCCGCGCCGCCGCCGCCCTTCGACCCCGCCAAGGCGGTCGGCGTGACGGCGCCCCTGGGCTTCTTCGACCCGCTCGGGTTCTGCAAGGTCGGGGACTACGAGGGCTTCCACAAGCTCCGCAGCTCCGAGCTGAAGCACGGGCGCGTGGCCATGATGGCCGCCTTCGGGGCCGCGTTCCAGCACTTCGTGAAGCTCCCCGGCTTCGAGGGCACCCCGGCAGGGATCGGGGCGCTCACCGACCCCTCCGGCGTGCTCGGTTTCGCCTGCCTCATCCTCCCCATCGCCGCGATCACTGAGACCGTGTACTGGAAGGACGACGACCTGTCCAAGGAGCCGGGCAACTTCGGGGACCCGGGCGACTGGGCGGGCCTCTTCGGCTCCTTCGGCGGCGGCTACAGCGACGAGATCCGGAACAAGGAGATCAACAACGGACGCATGGCCATGTTCTCGGTCGTGGGCATCATAGTGGCGGAGATCGCCACCGGCAAGGACGGCATCCAGCAGTTCGGCTTCTGAGGCTGCCGGGCGGCCCGGCGCGCCACGGTCGCCTCGAGGCGCTTCGAGGCGCTTCGGAGGCCCTTCGAAGGCACAGGGCGCCTCGGGGCCCTTCCGGGCGCGCGCCCCGCGCTCTTTCCGTCTTCGGGGCCTCTGCGCCCCCCTTCTGGGCCTTTTCGCGCCCCCCGGGGCTTTTCCTGGGGCGCAGCCCGTGCGACCCCTGCTCGCAGCAGTCTTGTGCCTTGATCTTCGCAGCCACCGCGCGGCCACCCACAAGCAAAAAAAGGGCTCCTTGGGTTCAGGTTCCAAGGGGCTGGGGGGCTGGAGCGGGGCTCGAGCTGGATCTGGGGCTCGAGCTGGAGTTGAGGCTCGAGCTGGATCTGGAACTGGGGAGCTGCAAGTGCTGCTAATTCCTGCGCCCGTCCTCCTCCTCCTCCTCCTCCTCATCCTCATCCTCAGCCTCACCCTCATCCTCATCCTCATCCTCATCCTCCTAGCTTCTCCCTGTCGCACCCCGAGGCCAGATTTTAGGGCAGGCCGGGCGTTACGCCTGAGACTCCCTCACGATTTATGATTCTGAAGTTTAAAAGTTGACAACAGCTTCACAGATGGAGGGCGGGTCGCGTTCAAAATGTTGTTCTCGCTTTAGCGCGGCGCACATTCGTTTAACAAATTTGCAGGAGTTTCATAAATTGATGTGGCTCTTGCTTTAGCGCGGCGCACATTCGTTCTAAACAGTTGCCAGAGCTTCACGGATTGAGGGCGGGCCGTTTTCAAAATGTGGTTATCGCCCTAGCGCGGCGCACATTCGTTTTAAACATGTGCAAGAATTTCACGGATTGAGGGCGGGTGGTCTTCAAAATGTGGCTCTCGCCTTAGCGCCGCGCACATTCGCTTTGAGCATGTTCAAGAGTTTCACGGATGGAGGGCGGGCCGTTTTCAAAATGTGGTTATCGACCTAGCGCGACGCACATTCGTTTTAAGTAGTACAAGGTTTTCGCGGAATCTCATCATCAACGTGCAAGAGTTTGTGTTTTGAAAGGATTCAGGGTTATGTTGGTGCAACAGTTCTATTGATTCGCTGTGTTGAAGTCCCAGGTATGGCGTTCTGGTACGATTCAGGATTGTCAAGACGCAACATTCAGGTTGATCCGTGGTTTGGGAATCCTGAGAACAATGTTTTGGCATGCTTCAGGATCTTCAAAGCGGCAGTTCCTCCAATGGAAATTAACCGTTGTAGGGGCCTATGAAGAGGGAGCTTGGAGGGAGCGTTTATTCCAACATCGGTGATGACTCTTGTGTTTACACTTGTCCTCCTCCTCCTCCTCCTCATCCTCCTCCTCCTCATCCTCATCCTCCTAGCTTCTCCCTGTAGCACCCCGAGGCCAGATTTTAGGGCAGGCCGGGCGTTACGCCTGAGACTCCCTCACGATTTATGATTCTGAAGCTTAAAAGTTGGCAACAGCTTCACAGATGGAGGGCGGGTCGTGTTCAAAATGTTGTTCTCGCTTTAGCGCGGCGCACATTCGTTTAACAAATTTGCAGGAGTTCCATACATTGATGTGGCTCTCGCTTTAGCGCGGCGCACATTCGTTCTAAACAGTTGCCAGAGTTTCACGGATTGAGGGCGGGCCGTTTTCAAAATGTGGTTATCGCCCTAGCGCGGCGCACATTCGTTTTAAACATGTGCAAGAACTTCACGGATTGAGGGCGGGTGGTCTTCAAAATGTGGCTCTCGCCTTAGCGCCGCGCACATTCACTTTGAGCATGTTTAAGAGTTTCACGGATGGAGGGCGGGCCGTTTTCAAAATGTGGTTATCGCCCTAGCACGACGCACATTCGTTTTAAATAGTACAAGGTTTTCGCGGATTCTCATCATCAACGTGCAAGGGTTTGTGTGTTGAAAGGATTCAGGATTATGTTGGTGCAACAGTTCTATTGATTCGCTGTGTTGAAGGCCCAGGTATGGCGTTCTGGTACGATTCAGGATTGTCAAGACGCAACATTCAGGTTAACCCGTGGCATTGGAATCCCGAGAACAATGTTTTGACATGCTTCAGGATCTTCAAAGAGGCAGTTCTTTCAATGGAAATTAACCGTTGTAGGGGCCTATGAAGAGGGAGCTTGGAGGGAGTGTTCATTCCAACATCGTTGATGACTGGGTTTACACTTGTCCTCCTCCTCCTCCTCCTCCTCTGCCTCCTCCTCTCGGGGAACACGAAATGCTGGACGGTTAGATCGGGGCACAACAACTCCATCCTCGGAGAGGAGTTCTGACAACACGGAAAGCACGAGTACCACAGCAAAGTTTTCTAATAGCAGCAAAGGTGGCCCATGGGACTTGGTGTATTGTGGAGTTTGCGGGCTTTCGGAGCTTGCGGCACCTTGAGAGACCCATGGGATTTGCGACATTTGTGGGATTTGTGGGACTCGTGATACTTCTGGTCCTGTTCCCTGCGATACCTTTGGGTCTTGTGGAACGTGCGGGACCTGAGGGACCCGTGGGACCTGTTGTGTTCGTGGAGCCCGCGAGGCGTGCGATAGTTGTGGGACATGTGTGATTTGTGCGACTTGCGGGACATGCGAAATGTATACATATGTATGTATGTACAGATTCGCATATGTTCGCGGCCCAACGGAATTCAAAGTCTGAGCGCCAGCAATGCATAGCGAACGCCGTCCAGGCCTCCCACTGTGACAATTTTGGCTTGGGGATAGGGTCGAGATTTCCAGGGATCCCGTGTCGAAAAAAATCCGACATCAGATGTCTGGGCAAATCAAGATTCGAGCAGGTGGGGTCGGCGAATCGCCGATGCATCGGCGATGTTGCTCGATGTGGAGCCCGATGTTCTCCACCACGCCGACGTCGCCGATGCATCGCCTACGCATCGGTTATGCATCGGCGATGCGGCGCGATCATCCGACCGCAACTGCTCGGACAGCGGCGGAAGAAAAGCGATAGCAGGTCCTGCGGATGCTACACCCTAGAAGATTCGGCTGGATGTCTTGCGATTGGGCTCGATGAAAAACAACCGCATTCGCGGCGCAGAAATTTCACAGAATACTAAGGCACATAATACCACGGCACAGAAAGCCAACATCCTTCGATTTGTGCTGGAGCCCGAAGGGGGCGCCGAGACAGGGATGACGAGTCGCTGAAAGCAAACAAAACCATGATCCTGCACTCGAGCACCCCCTCCTCTGAGGGGATGGCGCGACGAGAACAGCCACCACGTAGCCCTCTAGCGACGCGGCGGGCCTCGTCCCGTGAAGTTCACCCGAATTCGAAAAAAAAGCACTCTAAGCCAGAACGCCATCAGACGCCAGGAACAGGGGCGAGCAGGACAGGGGGGACGTGGCCGGCAAAGTTGTAACGTTGCCGACGGCGACCGCCTAAGGCTAGTGCGAATCACTCCTACCAGTTGGCGCTGCCGAGGCTGTGGACCATCCGAGTAGCATGGGCAACGCGCCGGCCTGCGAAACCAAGTGTCTATCCCATGAAGGGCAGCCGAAGCACCGACCAAGCGTCTATCCCAAGAAGGGCAGCTGAGCACCGACGCGCCATGACGAAGCAGTAAGGAATAACCACAAATGGTAGCTACTCGAACACCAGCGACTGGGACCGCCGAATGCAATGCATCAACGTAAGAGCCAGGCCAACACGTGGACGAAGTAGTGGGGCAGCAGCGACCCAACGGAGAACAAGTAAGTGGCTTGTGTCGACAACATCTCACGGGCAGAAGACATGCTCGAGGAAACTTCAGGTAGAACTGGAATTGAAGTTGCTCTGCAATTAGCAGCGTAGGCGACCTTGGAAATGAGCTCCCTCCATGAGCCTCACCGCCCAACTTCGGGCCCATACAACCACCCGTAGGCCCCTGTTTCCGGCAAGAACGGGTCTCCGTAGAACTCCAACTCGCAGACCGCAGAGGTCGGGCAGCCTCTGCACGCTCACCTCGGTGGCGTAGCAGCTGCTAGCAACGCCCAGCCGCGCCACAGGCATCGCACATGGCAGGTCTGGCCGGGTGCGGGCGCGGGTCACAGCCAGGGGGGGCACTTGCGACCCCCCGCTCCCGGAGGAGGCAGACGGATCCTTGAGCCGCCGAGGCTTGGTGGCAGGTCCGCCGGCTTCCGCCAGCGGAGGCGCGGCTGAAGCCGAAGGAGATCGGCGGAGGGCGGCGGCAGCAAAACCAGCCCCCCCCATGACAGGGCCCTCCGGAGTTCCAGGCTCGAGCAAGCCTAGCCAGCGAGTCCACACCGAGGATCGGCAAGGTCTTCGGCGATCCTTTCTTATCCTGTGCCACGTACTCTCACGATGTACAGCAGGAGACAATCCGTAGCCATTTTGGCTCAAGTGCTCAAGCCATCTTGGCCAATCACCTTTGACAACTTCCAGCTGGAGTCGCGATCTGGGTGAATGCTAAGCCTCCTATCATCCATCGGCAACAATTATGATGCGACTGCAACTGCATGCTTGCCCTCTAAGCATGCTTACAGCTTCACTAGTCATCGTGAGTACGTCCAGCATCGATGTGTGCAACATTGCAGGGAACAATTTTATTTTGAAGACCCTTTGCGACACGTTCGCAGGCAGCAGTAAGCAGACGAACCGCGCGATGGCGGGTATTCAGGTCATCGGCGCTGGTGCTGGCCGCACTGGTACAGCGTCGTTGCAGGCGGCGTTGGACATTTTGGCTTACAACTGCTACCACATGCGAGAGGTGTTTGTAAATGACGACAGCAGCATGTGGATGGGTCTGCTCTCGGGCAAGAGGAGTATCACGGACATCGTGTCGATGCTTGTTCACAATGGCTTTGACGCCACGGCAGACGATCCAGCAAGCGCGTTTGCGCTCGAATTCGTTGAGTACCTCCCATACGTAAAAGTGATCCTTACAACGCGCACGGATCCAGAGAAGTGGTTAGACAGTCTTCAGCAGTTGACACACGGGGACAAGATATCGTCATGGTTGCCTCTCGCGATCGTGCCCCGCTATGCGAAGTTCATCCAGATGGTTCGCTTCTACCATGCAAAGCGAGGATATGCATATGACCCTGAGTTTCTTAACCGTTCGGTGGCGCTAGAGTGGTATGAAAGTTGGAATGCCAAGATTCGCGCCAGAGTGCCCAAGGACCGGCTCCTGGATTTTCAAGTGACTGAAGGGTGGGGACCTCTTTGCTCTTTCTTGGGTAAGCCGGTACCCGATGTGCCTTTTCCACGCTTGAACGACAAGGATGGTTTCCGCTTTGCGCTTGCCTTCCTTGAGTGTGGCCATTGGGCCATACTTGGCGCGCCTGTTCTGATGGTTGTGTGCGCCATGTCCCGTTGCTGCCGTCCTGGAAGGCCCAAGGTGAAAGCACTATGACTAGACGTGAAAGTGTTTGCGGTGACGGGCTGGACAAAAAAAAAAAAAAAACGATGTACCGCAGGAGACAAGCATTGATCGCTGCTCGTTGTGATCGTTGTTATCATTATCTCTGTTATCGTTGAGGTGTCAAAATGTTTCGGTCCAGGCTTTCCAGAGTCGCCCGTACTGAGCAACCCGGATCCCGAACGGGGAGGGGGAGGAGCCAGAGGAGCCAGGGGTGGCAGGTCCTATATTGGCGCCCCGGACCCTGACCTCTGGAGGCCCCTAGAGGCCTGGCAGGGGCCAAGAACGACCGACGATTGCCCCATCGATCCTCGAGGGTCGAGGGCAAGACTTGGCACTGCCCAGTTTCCCACGTTTCGTTTTGCGTCGTTCGAATCGCGCCGAATGGCGGCCTCGTTTCGTCGTTCGTGCTCGTTTAGCACCAGATCGCTTCAAACGTTCGTTCTAAGCGTCGGGTCTCGTTTCGTGGTTCGTCTTAGATTTACTGCCGTTCTAAACTTAGATGTGGTCGGGCCATGCGTGGCAGCCAGGGGAAGGCGGAGGTCCTCGCGGCCCGCGCCCCGGCCGCCCCGCCTTGCTCTAGGAGGAGCACGAGGCGACCACGCAGTACCTCGCGGACCTGCAGAAGGCCTGCGTGGAGGACGCCGGCGCCTGCCACGCCCACAGTCGAAGAACAAAAGACTGCATAAGCATAAACTGTTGGAGCCGATGTCTGACAGCCCCGAGGGCTCGGCGAGGGCCCCAGGAGGCCGAAAACAGCAGACCGCGTTCCGCGGGCGTGATTGTTTCCACGACGCGAGCAGGTCTGGGCAGTTGACAGCGGGGCCAGTCTTCTCCTCCTCCTCCTCCTCCTCCTCCTCCTCCTCCTCCTCCTCCTCCTCCTCCTCCCGGGGTGGAGGGAAGCGGGGCCAGTCTTCGAAGCTGGGTAGTTCTGGGCGAGCGGGTCGGAGGAGCGTGCCGCATCGCCGATGCATCACGGATACATCGGCGATGCAGCTCGATGTGGAGCCCGACTTTCTCCATGCCGACGTAGCCGATGCATCGTCGACGTCGCCGATGCATCGGCGATGCAGCGGCGATGTGGTGCAATCCTCCGACCACACCTACTCGGACCCCATCTGGGAGGCCTCTAGAGTGGTGCTGTCGCGGCGCTGCGGTGAGGAGAAGGGGAGGATACAGTGGAGGCCCGTGCCAAGAAACACTTTGCTTGCCTCCAGGGTGCCCTGGGTTTCTTGGGTCCCATGGTTTTGCGATGGAAAGCGTGACGTTCCCACACCAGAATCCAATGGACGTCCTGGGGTCTCAGGGTTGGGTTTCTTGTGGAAGGCTGCTTGCGGTCGAGCCCCTACTGTATACCAGAGGGCGGGCCTGGGCCCGAAGGCCTTCGGCGCCTCCCCTAGCGCGCTCCGCGCGCCGAGAGGAGGGAAAGTCCCGCGCCGAGCCACGAGAGCCGCGCGGGCCTCCGAGAGCTCTGTTCCTTGTGGCTGCCCTGATGCGCCCGTGTCGAGACGCAACGCCTGCCGTGTCCAGCACGTCTGCGTTGACCCGCTGCGTGCTGGCTCCGCGCGCGCTGGCCCACGCTCTGGGCGAGCGTGCTGCGCCAGGCCCACGTGTTCGATCTACGCGCTGAGCTCCGTGTCGGCACGCTGCGGGCGGCGCGCTGCGCATCGGGGCGGCCAGGCGTTGCTCGTGCCGCTGCTGCTGCCTCGGCTCCCGCCGCTCCTCCTGCCTGCGCCGCTCTGCCGTGGCCCGCAGCCCGCGGCCGCCTCGGCCCAAGGAGCTCCGGCACCGAGGGTCTGCACGGCAGCTTCTCGCCCGCCCCGCCAGGGCTCGGAGGAGGGCCAGCTGGGCCAGCGGTGGCCCCCGCGCCCGGCCCAGAGCCGCTCAGAGTCGGCCCACGGCCCGTTCCCGGGGTCCCTCCCGAGGCCCGCGCTGCGGGGCGGACCCGGCCGCGGCGACGAGAGGCCTCCAGAGGAGGCCCCGAGGGAGCGCGCACCGCAGGGTGGCGGACGAGGAACGGTTGGCGGAGGAGGAGGAGGAGGAGGAGGAGGAGGAGAAGGAGGAGGAGGAGGAGGAGGTGGAGGAGGAGGAGGAAGGAAGAGGAGGAGGAGGAGGAGGTGGAGGAGGAGGAGGAGGAGGAGGAGGAGGAGGAGGAGGGTGGAGGGTGGAGGGTGGAGGGTGGAGGGTAGAGGAGGAGGGAGGAGGAGGGAGGGAGGAGGGAGGAGGGAGGAGGGAGGAGGGAGAGGGAGGAGGAGGAGGGAGGAGGGAGGAGGGGGAGGAGGAGGAGGAGAGGAGGAGGAGGAGGAGGAGGAGGAGGAGGAGGGAGGAGGAGGAGGAGGAGGAGGAGAGGAGGAGGAGGAGGAGGAGGAGGAGGAGGAGGAGGAGGAGGAGGAGGAGGAGGGTGGAGGAGGGAGGAGGAAGAGGAGGAGGAGGAGGAGGGAGGAGGGGGAGGAGGAGGAGGGAGAGAGGAGGAGGAAGAGGAGGAGGAGGAGGAGGAGGAGGAGGAGAAGGAGTAGGAGTAGTAGTAGTAGTAGGAGGAGGAGGAGGAGGAGGAGGAGGAGGAGGAGGGCTCTGCTCGTGCGGTGGCTAGCCCTTCCAAGCCCCGCCATCTGCGTGGAGCCTCCTAGACAGGGCACCACTGCCTCCGAGGATAGAAGGAGTTGTCACCTCTTCCTCGGCGGAAGGGCGGCGGGAGCTGGCGGGAGTGGAAAGTGCCCCCCCAGGGGATGAAAACGTTTTTGAGCTCGTGCATTCTTCTGCGGTCGGGGGCGCCTGTCCAGAGAGCGGCCGCAAAGGTGGCACCCCGACGCGGCGTCGGCGAGGCACGAGCTTCCCAGGCGCCCTGGGGGCAGGCGCCCCTCACGGCGGAAGAGCGAGTCCACGTTCTACCGCTCTCCGTCCGCGACAGTGCGCCCGTATGGTAAGGATTAGCAGCTCTCCATGGCTAACCCTCCTCCTACTACTACTACTACTACTACTACTACTACTACTACTACTACTACTACTACTACTACTACTACTACTACTACTACTACTACTACTACTACTACTACTACTACTACTACTACTACTACTACTACTACTACTACTACTACTACTACTATACTACTACTACTACTACTCTCGTTCAGTTCCCTCCTCCCCCTCCCTGTTCCTCCTTCCTCTCCTCTCCTCCTCCTCCTCCTCCTCCTCCCTCCTACCTCCTCCTCCTATCCTCATCTTCCTCCTCCTCATCCTCATCTTCCTTCCTCCTCCTCCTCCTCCTCCTCCTCCTCCTCATTCTCTTCCTCCTTCTCCTCCTCTTTTCCGCCTCCTCCTCCTCTTCGTCATCCTCCTCCCCCTCCTCCTCTTCCTCCTCTTCATCCTCATCCACCGCATCCCTGCTCGTTCGGCCCATCCTTGACCGCTTTCGCTGGCCGCGCCCCGCTGGAAAAGTGTCGACGTGGCCTTCCGAGGCCTTTGCATCCTTCTCGTGCGTCCTATGAGTATGCGGGTCGACTGTAAGCGAGGGAGGACCGCTAAGCAGGGGAGGGCCGCCGTTCCCGGACCTCCAATGCTCTGTTTTTTTCAGCACGGTCCCGACCCCTTCCCTAGTCGGGAGGCTTGAGACGGGGGTCAATGCAAACGGGTGCCAGCCAGAGCGCCAGATCATGCAGGATCCTGCAGAGCCAGGGGTGCATTGACCCGGGTCAGCGTACAGGATCTTTCAGGACTTTGCAGGACTTTGCTGGATCCTGCAAGGCCTGATTGGCCTGGGCTTGCACTCACACGGGTCAGCGCGACCCCTTCCCAGGGCCGGCTGTTCATCCCGAGTCGTTCTTTGACGGTCCCGAGGCCCAGCGAGGTCCCCCGGAGGCCGAAAACGGCGAACAGTGCCCCGTCGTGCTCTTGTGTCACGACGCGAGCATGTATTGGTTGGCCCCCCTCCAGAAGCCGGACCCAACCCGGATGAGCTCGGCTCCGCTCGACAGTGCGCAGCGCCTGCGCGTGCGCGTGGAGCGGGTCGACGCGCTGGAGGCGTGGGTGCGCCCGCGCCGCTGCGCGTGCCGCCGCGCTGCAGGCTGCGGCGTGGCCGTGCGAGTGCAGGAGATCCGGCCGCAGAGCGGCGGGGGCGGCGAGGAGGCGGCGCCGCTGCCGGCGCAGTTCCTCGTGGCGGGCGGTGCCGAGGAGCCGACGAAGAAGAAATCAGGCAGTGGCGAAGCGCCCTGGTTCGCCTATAGCGCGGGGCGTGAAAAAGACCACAGCCACTGCTTTTCTTTGGTTGCCGCCTTCCAGCCCGCAGAAACAAAGCAGTGGTTGTGGTCATTCTCGTTGAGCTTGGCACCAGGGAAATGGCCACAACCACTGCTTCTTTTCCGGCCAACTGGAAGGCGGCGCAAACAAGAAGCAGTGGCTGTGGTCATTTTCCCGTCCCGCATATAGGCCCACCGAAGAATGTTCTAAGAACGGTGTGTGGTCTGCACGGAGTTGTCTCAGAGCATGTTCTGGCTGAGACTGCCGTGTTCTAGCACGTCGGCTCTGCGTTCTAGGGACACTGCGTGTGTCATCCGAACATTTCTGGGTTCTGAACAAGTTTCGTGGTAGGCCTATTAAGAATGCCGGGACGGTCGGTCCCTGCTCAGAAAAAGTTGCACACGTAGCACCCTTCAGTGGCGGATGCAGTCGGCCTTGATTAGAAGGTCGGCCCCGCCAGATCAAGGGTACTCTTTGTGTCCTGTGTCTCGCGACCGATGCCCCCACATTCCTGTGGCCCTCGGATTTGGTCCTGTTCTCTCGCGTGTCCTCGTCCTGTCAAGTCCGGCTGTAAGAGTGAGGGGGCGGGCTCGGGGTGGGTCGCGGGTGGGTCGCGAGTGGTTCGCTGATTGGGTCGCGGCGTGGGTCGCGGGGGGGTCGCGGCGGGACGACGGCAGCACGCAACAACAGCAAACAACAAACAAGCGGAACCCAGGCCACAAAAACCCACTGCACCCACGCAACCAAGGAGGGTATCAGACCGTTCGGCCCTGTCTCTCTGTGGGAGAGCCGCGTGGA